CCTTTCTCTGGCAGTAACAGTAAGGCCAGAAAAAGAAAAATGGAACTTTCCAATTCTGAAGAGCATGAAGATTCTAGTCTCTGAAACAAGGTCTCAGGTTTGGGAGTAAACGCACAGTATTAATTATGGAATAGGCTTAATAACTACAAAATAGTGTCATGAAAACACAAGAAGTGAGAGCATAACTTAAATCTATGAATAAAAGTAGCAAAATTGCCCTTGAACCTATTACAGCGTGGAGCTTACACTATTGACCACACCATGTTCATTACACATTACGCTTGAGAAAAACACTCTTTTACAGGTGACAGAAGGTGGGTTGTTAGGTTGTAAAAGGATAGCTGTGCTGGATGCTATATTCCATGGTTTCAGTTCCATTATGAGAAAGAAGTCACAAAACCAAAACAAACACCAACTATCCAGTGAGTATTTTGTTAGGTTGTCAGCCCTCAGATAGCCTCGGACTGAAGTGGTTTATTTTATTTTTATTATTTATTTTATTTTAATTTTTAAATTGTCATCTCAGGATATGTTCACCAATATTAGAGAGAGAGGAAGGGATAAAGAGAGAAATATCTGTTGGTTGCCTCCTTTACATGCCCTGACCTGAGATCAAACTCACAACCTTTTGGAACATGAGATGATTCTCCAACCAACTGAGCCACTTGGCCAGGGCTGAAGTGATATTTTAAACAATACAATTTGAAGTTTACTCATAAGATGTAATAACTCCTTAGATTTTGTTATATTGAAATATAATGAATCTGAGGGAGATAGAGTCACACAGCACATAATGATGTGAACAATGGACTGCATTTACGATGAGAGTCCCATAAGATTATAATGGAGCTGAAGTTCTCTAACAAATGGAAGCATTTGTGGTCCTGGGGAATTTTTTTCTCTGATAGAAGCATTATCTGTGGGGCTTGACAGTAAATTCCCTGTCACTCACTCCCAGTGCCTCAATTTTGAGTGTACAGATGACACATTCCAATACATCATCCACTGTACCTTTTATATGTTTAGATCTACATAGATAAACAAATACTTACCATTGTGCTATAATTGCCTACAGCAGTCAGTATAGTAACAGCTGCACAGGCTTGCAGCCAAGGAGCAACAGGCTGCATACAGTCCAGGTGTGCAGTAGGCTGTCCCATCTTGGTGTATGTAAGTGCCTCTGTGATGTTCACACAATAATTAAATCTCTAAACGACACATTTTTCCAGAATGAAAGTTCATTGTTAAGTGATACATGATTGCATAAAATTAGAAAATTTCCAGTTTTCACCAGATATATCATTACATATTCATCATTGTATTTGCTTATTTAACACCATGCCTCAATTTTGACCTTTCTACTATGAGGAGGCAAACTGGAGATGCTTTAGTGTTGTTGCTTAATTTGAACATAAGCAGACAAACCAGAGATTTTAAAAGCAAATGACATTTATGACAGAGGTCATGTAACTATAGGTGACTGAAATGTGCAAAGAACTCAGGGCTCTTCCTTTTAAGTTCACTGCTTCTTCGTGACACTGTCCTCTGTTGTGGTGGACTGTTCAACTTCTCGGTGTTATGTCCCATTTCAGAATCATCTGTACCCACATACATACAGGACACCGGGGATGATCCACAGGCTCCTTATCTGTCTCATTAATGTCTACATCAAGGCTTCTCCCTGGGCCTGAAACTTGGCTTCTTTTGTCCATCTTCATGCAGCCCCTGTGGCATCAGAGCTCTGCCCTCCTGCTTCTCACAATCAGTACAGAAAGGGTTCTCAGCCTCCATAGCAATGAACTTGGCCATCTGGAACACAGGAGTGTTGACAGGGAAAGGGATCTGCCTTTTAGATCTTTAGCCAAGGCAGCTCCCAATGTTTATGCTTTCCTGTTTGTTTGTTTTTTCCTGTAAAAATCCAGAACTATTATACATGAAAGAGTAAACTGAAATGGAACATAATTAGAGAGTCAAGGCTGGATTTAAAGCAAGGGTGGTTCAGGGTCATTTACAGAACTAGCAGAGAGACCACAGGCAGGTTGTGGAAAGAAGAGAAGAGCCAAGGGAAATAGAGGCCCAGGCAGCTCACTTCTCTAGTCCATTTAACAAAGACTGGGGAACACAGAATGGGCGGGGGAAGAGAGAGAGAGAGTGAGTGTGTGTGGAGAGGGGTGTTCATGTGCATGTTTGGTTTATTTTAGGTTTGATTATTTTGATCTTTTAAATAAAGTGAATAATCATGAAAGCTCTTCAAAACTTGTTTATGTGGAGTAAAATAGTGTGATTTCCCATTTGGGGATGGAGACACTTCAATCTTTTGTAAACTCTGAATATCTTTTCTGGCGACAGCCCTTTAAGAAATGCAGGAACAGCTATGTCTGGTTACAAACACTTGCAGCATCTTTAATTTTACTTCTAAATTGTCCATATTCAAAACAATGTGTTTTTCTTATTTTTCTTTTCTGTAAATGACCTAAAAGTTGGACATACCTTTCTATAAGAACAGCCAGTAGTATTTTAAAGCAACTTTTATCCATGAGAGATGTGAAAACAGTTCTCTAATTAAACCAGTAACAGAAAAGAAGAGGTGGAGTCTTGGATTTGATTCTCCTCTGCCATTGTTAGCCTCAAATAGGTCAAGGATCAGAAGATAATCGTGATTCAGAATTGTAATTAACCCTTGCAGTTCTTCCAAAGCTCAGGGTTTCTCCATTTCTTAAATGTAATTCTCTCTAATTGTTCACCTTGTTTTTAATACAAGAAAGAGCCCTTGGACATGGAGGCAGTTTTGGACCTTTGAAAATAATGAAAATCACTGAAGTACGGGGAGACTTGAGTCAGCATTCACATATTTATTAGTGTCAGGCCAACTTGAGTAATTAAATATAGATGCAATTGCTCACTAGACAGTTCACAAGTGGGTAACATTACATTCTGTAGTTTACTATACAATTAAAAAATAGTTTCTAGTTTTTCTTGTTCTTTGGTTAAACGTGGGCCAAAAAAAAAATCATTCAGTTATACCGATTTGCTTTTTTTCCCTTGTCATGTGATTTCAAACACAATAGTGGAGAGTGCTTTGTTCAGTCCTCATCAAGTTGAACTAAACAGTGGTTTTAAACATTTATGTTGAAGTTACAGTTGACTTTTTATTACCTAGAAAGAGTTAGGTACTTGCTGATGCCAACAGAATGACATTTTTTTTCTTAGCCACATGAAAACTTAGTGGTCTAGTGGACCTTGAAGAATCACTTTCAAGGTATGACGGCTGAAGACTGAAGAGTAATATTTATCAACATTAAATAGACACTTGGTGAAGTATGCATAAATATTTCTTCATATAAACATAACACAAAATTAAATAGTTCAGAAACACAGACGCCACTGAGCACATGTCCACTGTTGTCAAAGTCACCTGTAAACACCAGTTCACACTGAATACAAAAGCAGCTTCTACCCTGACTCCGGCCATCATGGAGGCCCTGTACAAGGTGAGATTTCTCTTCAGCCACCCCACCCCATCCCCGCCCTCCCCTCACAACCCCAGTTAAAGGAAAAGAAGGGACCCCAACAACTATAGCAGCAAAAAATGACACTAAGAGCAGCACTCCTCCCTTCCCCCAAATAGAACATTTAGCATTTTGGTCAATTCAGAGAACAAGATAAAATAATTTTTTTTAAAAACTATAAAAAAGTCAATTTGAAGCATTATTTTTCAAAGTGTAATTCTTCCTTCAGAGGACATGCAGCTTCCTAAGCCCTACCTACTAGGTGAAAGTCACAAGATAAAGATCAGGAAGCACTGGCCAGAGCTAAGTGACAGAGGTGTATGTTTTTCATTTAGAAGATGCCAGGTAACATGAAATTAAATGCCAGGTTCTTCATCACCCCTCACAATGTCTTTTTGCTTTGCTATATGGATTGCTGTGTATGACTTTCAAACATGACACTACTATTGAGTTGTAAGCAGTTTAGGTAACAGAAGTTTTCTTTGGGCACATCAGAAATGAACGATCAAATTCAAACATGTGGACGTGGTTCATTTTTTGAGCTCAGAGGGCCCAATTTGATTTAGCTCTGTTCAGGATATCAACAAAATGATAGTTTACCCTCAGAGTCTGGTCAAACCATGGTGCCTGACCTTGATCACAAGGCGGTTCACTTTGCCCAGACCTGCTGGAGGGCCTGGCTGCTATCTGCTGAGTATTCTCAGGGTGGTTTCTAAAACAGCCCTGGTTTTGAAAATATCACACAGGTTTTATTTCACTTTTATGTTGTGTTAGGATCCTAGAGAACTTCAGTTACCAAAGTACAGAAAGCATGTATTGTAGGAATAATTTGCCAGTTAAGTAATTCCTATTATATTATATACATTTTGTGTGTGTATGTGTGTAGAGCTTACACACATACACACACACACACATACTTATATATTTTTATTTGTACAAAACTTTAACTGCACCAAACAGTACTTTGTAGGAATTAAGAATCAAGTTCGCAAATAGAGTGTAACAACACACCAAAGAGAAGACAAAAAGTTCTATTGGGACAAGAAGGTTCAGCTTAGCAACATGTGAAATAATTTCAGAACCACCTACTCACTAGCCTGACATGTTTCATGAGGAATCTGAATCAGCACTTTTGGGATCCTTGTAGAAAACGTGGCATCTAGGGCAGCTAGTTATGCTTATCTGAGATTCCAGAACTAATGGAAATTAAAAGAACTAAGCAGATCAATTTTGGTGTATAATTGCTGTGAAACAATTTTTTCCTCTTCAAGAAAAAACAAAGTCTATTTCAGAATAAATTTCTTTATATATTTTTTTCCACTGAATTCAGTAATATGTTTCTGGGTTTTTTCCACTGAATTGCTAAATTGCAATTTGATTTTTATAGTAAAATGGGTTTATCCAATGGTTCAGAAACAGGCAGCTTCTTTCACATCTGGCTGATAAGAACATTTTTATCATCATCAGAAATCACCCATTCCTCCTGACTCCCTCCTAAGGTTTGTTGGTTGATGTGTGCATTTGGTCACTGTTATTGACAAAACCTCATTCTACAAGTCTTGCTCAGGCACACGCTTGTGAAAAGTCACTGACTGTCTTTGCTGATACTGCTGTTTGCGCCTCTTCTTTTTGTCACATTGGCATAGCAGCAGCATCTTGAAAGTGGTTCTGAATGTTTTGTTGCACAGGGCATAGCACACAGGGTTCACGGTGCTGTTGATGTAGCACAGCCAGTAGCCCAGATTCCAATAGGTTTTGGGTATACAGCTGTTACAAAAGGTATTCACCAGAACCATAATATTGTAGGGAGTCCAGGTGATGATGAAGGCAAGCAATATGGCGCTGAGGGTCTGGGCTGCTTTCTTCTCCTTAATGAGTGACATCCGTTTCCGCTTAGTGATCTGACTTCTGGTCTTCAGAGCAAACCTCTTGGCCAGGGTGGCTTCCTTGAAGGACAGAGGTAGAGTGGCCGTGGTCTTACCCACTGAGGAGTTGATGTCAGAGGTCTTGGCTGTGTCCACGGCTGACTCTAAGTGGATGGGAAGCTTGGAGAAGCTTTTTTGAAAACTTCCTCCATCATCCATGCTCTTCTGTGCCTGCAGTTTGCTGGCCTTTTTCTCCAAGTCCACTGTCCCCAGCTCCTCATCTGGCACCTGCAGGTTGTCAGATGAGGGTAATTTGGTGGCATTGAGGATGGTGCTGTGACCTGGAAGCTTGAGCACAATGGAGTAGATGGCTCTCGTCTCTGAGCCAATGTCTTCCTCATCAGAGGATGCAGAGTTTTCCAGGGAGGCAGCAGCATCGTTGTTATTCCAGCTGTCACTGCTGCTGTGGTCTTGGTCTATGTGCTCAGCACTGGGCTTCCAGCTCTTGGCTGAGAACCAGAAGTTGCAGCAGCCATACTTTCTCCTGGCTGAGTGTTTAATGCTTTGCTGTTGAAGCTCATAGCTGCTGCAGCTTCGAGAACTGCCGGTGGGTTGGACAAAGTTTTCTGCCTCTGCTTCCGTCCCCGAGGCTTGTAGCCCAGCAAGCTCTTTGGTACGTTTTTCAGTTTCTTTATAGATCCTCCAGTATAAAATTGTCATAATGGTGACAGGCATATAAAAGGCAGCTATGGCTGTGCCAAAGGTAATGGTGGGCTCACTAAGGAACTGAATGAAGCATTCCCCTGGGGGCACAGTTCTCTTCCCCACAAAGTACTGCCAGAACAAGATGGCAGGAGCCCAAAGGACAAAGGAGATGACCCACGCCAGACCTATCATCACACCAGCTCTTTTTGTTGTTCGTTTGGCCCGGTATGTGAGTGGCCTTGTGATGGAAAAGTACCTGTCAAAGCTAATCACCAGAAGATTCATAACTGATGCGTTGCTAGCCACATAGTCAATTGAGAGCCAGAGGTCACAGGCCAAGTTCCCTAAAGCCCATCGATTCATGATGATGTAGGTAGTAAACAGATTCATTGAAATGACCCCAATAATCAGATCAGCACAGGCAAGGCTTAAGAGGAAGTAGTTATTGACTGTCTTCAGTTGCTTGTTGACCTTAAATGCCACTATCACTAAGATATTGCCAATGATGGTCACCAGGGCCAGGACACCCGTTAAGAATGCAATGAAGACCACCTGCCAGATGGTGTGGCCTCCCAGAGGGTCACTGATGGTGCCATTTGGAAGAGAGAAATTCCCAGCTGCTCGAGAATTGTTGTGACTGCCAAAATGAGTGCCCGTTCCTGGGGGCAGCCCTGAATCTGGGGAGCCAGGTATCCAGAAAGAGCTGATGTTTGGAAATAAAGGTGAAGTTGTATTGTTATTGTGCAAGGTCATTGTGACTCTTTGACATAGTCTGGGGAGAAAAAGAGAAAAAAGAATTAGAAAATTTTCTGGCTTTGTTTGACTTATCCTTTGCATTGCATACTCTAAGAAACATAGAATACCTATTATAAGATGCTGCTTCTCTGAGAGGCTTAAACATCAAATTTATTCTCTTACTTTAAACATGAGGAGTTGAGGACAGGCAGAGACTGATTTGTTCAATGTAGCACAATTGCGCTTTCCCTGCAGTTTCCATATTTCTAAGAATATACCACATATAACTCCACATAATGCTGTTATCAGACAAAATCTTCCTTTTCTTATTTTAAAAAGAGGGAAATTATTTGATACTTATATCAAATACTCAGCCAGCATAGGTGTATCATTATATCACTTGATAGGTGAAGCTAATTCATTTACATTTTATCCTCCTAACTCACAAAATTTACCTATCACATGCTTTAGGCTTTCAGGCCATAGAGCCATTTAAACTTCTTTGGGATGAGGACCATCATCCAGGAGCGATGGGGAAAACATGTGTGAATTACTTCACATTATATTATCTCTTTAAATCACAGATAGAAGAAGTAATAAATTGATTTCTTGTAATGCATGGTAACAGCATACAAGGCGGCAATCTTATGCCTGATAACATGCAGAAACTTTACCAGATTGTTCTGAATTGACCAAACCAGTTCGAATATTTTTAATATATAGATATATACTTAAAATATCATTGTTTTTCAATTACAGCTGACACCATATTATATTAGTTTCAGGTGTACAATACAGTGATTAGACATTTACATAACTATTGATGAACATTTAAGTTGTTTTTATGTCTTGGCTACAATGAATAATGCTGCAATGAACATGGGGGTGCATACATACTTTCAAAAAATATACCCAGAAGTAGAATTACTGGGTTACAAGGCAGTTCAATTTTTAATTTTTGAGGAACCTCCATAATATTTTTCACAGTGGCTGCACAAACCTGCATTTCCACCAACTGTGCATTAAGGTTTCCTTTTATCCACAACCTCACCAGCACCTGTTGTTGATTTATTGGTGATAGCTATTCTGACAGGTGGGAGGCGATATCTCATTGTGGTTTTATTTTGCATTTTTGTAATGATTAGTGAAATTGAGCATCTTTTCATATGTCTATTGGACATCACCATGTCACGTTTAGAAAAGTGTCTGTTCAGATCAAGATCCTCTGCCCACTTTTTAATTGGAGTGGGTTTTTTTTGTTTTTGTTTTTGTTTTGGTGTTGAGTTGTATGAGCTTTTAATAAAAATTGGATATTGACCATTTAACAGATGATGGTGAATACCTGCTTCCACTCATTAGATTGTCTTTTTGTTTTTTTTCCAAAGATTTTAAGTGTATTTTATTGATTATGCTATTACAGTTGTCCTATTTTTTCTCTCTCCTTTATCCCCCTCCTCCCTGCATCCTACCACCTCCCATCAGCATCCCCACCCCCACCTTAGTTCATGTCCATGGGCTGTACATATAAGTTCTTTGGCTCCTCCATTTCCTATACTATTCTTAACCTCCCCCTATCTATTTTGTGCCTACCAATTACACTTCTTATTCCATGTACCTTTGCCCTCATTCTCCCCCACCCCCTCCCTGCTGATAACCCTCCATGTGCTCTCCATTTCTGTGACTCTGTTCCTGTTCTAGTTGCTTTTGTTTTAGGTTTAGTTGTTGCTTTTCTTTTTGCTTTTGTTCCTTTGTTTTAGGTTTAGTTGTTGATAGTTGTGTTTGTTGTCATTTTACTATTCATAGTTTTTGATCTTCTTTTTCTTAGACAAGTCCCTTTAACATTTCATATAATAAGGGCTCACTGATGATGAACTCCTTTAACTTGACCTTATCTGGGAAGCACTTTATCTGCCCTTCCATTCTAAATGATAGCTTTGCTGGATAGAGTGAGCTTGGATGTAGCTCCTTGACTTTCATGACTTTGAGTACTTCTTTCCAGCACCTTCTTGTCTGTAAGGTTTCTTTTGGGAAATCAGCTGATAGTCTTATCGGAACTCCTTTGCAGTTAACTCTCTCCTTTTCTCTTGCAGCTTTTAAGACTCTCTCCTTATCTTTAATCTTGGGTAATGTAATTATGATGTGTCTTGATGTGTTTCTCCTTGGGTCCAACTTCTCTGGGACTCTTTGAGCTTTCTGGACTTCCTGGAAGTCTATTTCCTTCGCTAGATTGGGGAAGTTCTCCTTCATTATTTGTTCAAATAAGTTTCCAATTTCTTGCTCTTCCTTTTCTCCTTCTGGCACCCCTTATTTGGATGTTGGAATGTTTAAAGTTGTCCCAGAGGTTCCTCAGCCTCTCCTCATTTTTTTGAATTCTTGTTTCTTCATTCTGTTCTGGTTAAATGTTTATTTCTTCCTTCTGCTCCCAGTCGTTAATTTGAGTCCCAGTTTCCTTCCCTGCACTGTTGGTTCCCTGTATTTTTTTCTTTATTTCACTTTGCATAGCCTTCACTTTTTCTTCCATTTTGTGACCGTACTGAACCAACTCAGTGAGCATCCAGATTACCAGTGTTTTGAACTATGAATCTGATAGGTTGGCTATCTCATCACTGCTTAGTTCTATTTTTGGAGCTTTGATCTGTTCTTTCATTTGGGCCATATTTCTTTGTCTTGGCACACCTGTTACATGGGAAGGGGCGGAGCCTTAAGTACTCACCAAGTTGGAGCAACCCAAGTCACTGTGTTGTGGCACTGTATGGAGGAGAGGGGTCTAAGAGGGAAAATGCCACTTGCTTGGCTCCCAGCCAGCTTTCAGTCACTCCCCTGACACCCCCAAGCAAGTTGGGCCCTTCTGGTGCTGATTCCAGGGTGGGTGGGATTGTGTACATTCTACGATCCTGTGCATCTCTCCAATGAACTCTCTTGTGAGGCTCAGCATTTCTCCTGCTGCTGCAGCCCCCACAGATTTTTACAGCCAGAGGTTTTGAGGCTTCCTTTTCCCACACTGGAACCCTGGGTTGCGCAGTCTATCTCACTCCCCAGCTTTTCCTCACAGTTCATCCGCATGTGACTGTGGGACCGCCCAGCCTCACCCGTCTGGTCCTCCAGTCACTGCCTTCCTGCAGGGCCTCTCCATCCCAGCTGCCCACCTCCACCTTGGGTGAATGTTTCTTCTTTAGCTCCTTGGTTGTCAAACTGCCATACGGTTTGATTTTCTGGCAGTTCTGATTATTTTTTGTTTTTAAATTTGTTATTGTTCTTTTGGTTGTGCGAGGAGGCAGAGCGTATCTACCTATGCCTCTATCTTGGCTGGAAGTCCAGGTTTAAGACGTTGGAGACTCTCAGCACTTCTTGAAATTCTATGTCTTTTCCTTCACCAGGTTAAAACTTTTCATTCATTATTTCTTCAGATAGGTTTTCATTCTCTTGCTCTCTCTACTCCTTCTGGTACCACTATGAAAGAACTGTTAGAATGATTGACATTGCCCCAAAGGCCCCTTCAAACATTTATTTAAATTTTTTTTGCTGTTCTCATTTGGTGTTTTCTATTACTTTTTCTATCAAATCCCTGATGAAATCCTCTGCTTCATCTAATCTGTTGTTGATTGCCAATAATGTATTCTTAATTTCAGTTATTTCACTCATTATTTCTGACTGATACTGTTTTATGGGTTCCATCTCTTTGTTGAAGTTCTCACTAAGTTCCTCTATTCTTCCCCTAAGTTCATTGACCATCCTTACAACTAGCATTTTGACATCTGCATCTGGTAGGTTGCTTGTCTCCATTTCACTTATTTCCTTTTGTGAAGTTTTGTCCTGTTCTTTCATTTAGGACATGGTTGTTTGTCTCCTCATTTTGACTGCCTCCCTATGTTCTTTTCTATGTATTAGGCAAAGCTAGCATGTTCTGAGTCTTGGTAGAGTGGCCTTATTAGTAGGTGTCCTATAGGACTCAGTGGTGCAGTCTCTCTAGTCACCTAATACGGGTGCTCTATGTATGTCCCTTGTTTGGCTTGTGTGTGCTCTCTTGTTGTTGGGCTTTGATTGCTATTGGCACATCAGCGGGTAACGTTGATCCTCAGGCTGACTAGTTGTGAGGGCTGGCCATGACTGCAGCTGAAGAACTGTTGTGTGTAGTCTGACCCAACAGAACAAGACACTTTAGTGGGGTTCTGGTGCCAGCTGAGTCTGCCCTTCTGGTGCATTATTTGTGAAAGTGATTGGGTGGTGCTCTGACGTGGTCTGAAGATTGCTAGCAGGTGTCATGGTTCTGGAGCCACTTGGTAGGGGTTCTGGTGTAGGCCAAGTTCAGCCACATTTGTGTATCTTTTGGGGCTGCCTGGTGGGAGATAAAAAGTGATCTGCAGTTGTTTGGAGACATTTGTCTATGCTATGACCTGAGACTGGCTGCCACTTGTGCTGGGCATGGGACTCTGTTGGGCATCACAATCAGAGACCAGCCTCCATCTGTAACAGGTTTGTGGCAATTTAGTAATTTCAACTTTCCAAGCCAATACTGGTTGTAGCTTATGCTGGCCTTGAGGCCCCCTGAGGAGACCTACAATGCAAGCTGACTAGTCATCACTTGTCTTGGGCTTTGGGCTCCTTAGCAACAGTACAGGGAATGGTGAGGTCATCTTTTGCTTTTTTTAGGTTTGTGGATCTTTGAGAGATTTTAGGAAAGTCCTCAGCACAGGCTGAGGCAGGCTCCTTGTATGGCAAAGCTGCTGGGATCAGCTCGAACCAGATTTGTGTGTTAGGTAAGGCGGGGTCTCAGGGTATTATCAGGGAGGGGCAAATGGTGTTAGCCAGGTTAAAGGAGAGCTCAGATTTGGCACCTGCCTGTGCCTGTCAGCTGTGAGGGAGGAGGACTCAACAAAGGAACAAAGGTGCCTGTCAGCACTTCCATCCCCAAGAGAGAGATGCCCCTCCAGCCCTTGCTCTAAAGCTAGTCAATTCAGTTTCTCCCAGTATGTCCCTGGCACTTTGTGGGCTGCTGCCTCTGTCCTGGAGGCAGAGCAAATTACTTTGTGAGTGGGTGAGCCTAGGTGCTACATGTCCTAAAGTGTCTACAGCTAGGTTCCCAGCAGCCCTCCACCACATTCAGTCATAGTCCCTGCTGGCTCTCAGTCAGTTGTTATGAAGACTCTTATTCCTTGCACTGGGAACCCTCACTCCTCAGAGTTCCACCACTGAGATATCCCTCTCAATTTTTAACTATTGTACCATGGGGGTGAGATGTGCCCATTCCATGTCTCAGCCCTATCAGTCTATCATGGATTTTTCTCTATATCCTTATTTGTAGTTTTTTTGATCAGCTAGTCTTTGGGTGTTTCTCAAGGGTGTTCTTCCTATAATATAGTTGTAATTTTGATGTGGCTATGGAAGGAGGAGTGCACGGCATTTACGTTTTCTGTCTTCTTGATCAGAGTCCTTTAGTATATAGATTACTTAAGCAATGAAAAATATTTTAACATCACACACACATGCACATAAATAGTTACAAAGCTGCCATTAGTTCTTTCACACATTGTTACCAAAATATATAAAAAACTAAGAATCATTGCAATAATGCACCAACAGCAAGGCCCCTGTGGTGTTACGGAAAGCATTGGGTGGGACTTGCCCTACCTTCTGGGAACCTCCAGGGTTGTACTTCCAGGACACGGCTGGTCTAGAAATCCTCACATCATGAAACTCTGTGGACTTCATTCACTAAATCATTTCTCAAAAAGTGTCATTCTATGAATTCAATGTTTGATAATCATAGTAAAAATCTATTAAGAACACTTAGGCTGTGTTTAGGCTTTTGGTGAAAAAGGTGTTCAGCTGCAGACTCTTACATGAAATATGCACACACATGCACATGTTCAGAGTCCTGCATCAAGACTTTAGACATTGCACATCAGGGTGTTTCTCAAAGGAGTGTGAGGGGTGTGGTCAGAGTCACACAGGGCCTTTTGGAAAGGCCTGAGGGAGTAGCAGGAAGGCTTTGGAATCTGAAAAACATAGGTTCAAACTCCACATAACCACTATCTACAGGTGGGATCCTGGGTATAATTTAATTCTCTGAGTCCCATTTTCTCATTGAAAATTGGGAATAAAACACGCTATAGAATAGAATAAATTGTTGATAATTCCAACTTAGAATTTAATTAAGTGTTCAAAGAAACTTTGTTTCTCATCAAAATGTTTTTATATATATATATAAAGTTCTTACATCAGAGCCTGGTATATAATATGAGCTATATAAGTGTAGCATCTTCCACTGCTATTTTATTAATCAATGATTTCACTTTGATTGCCTGCCAGGAGGCTCAGACCTCAGTTCAGTGCAATAATAAATGACAGTGGTGAATATTTATTATCACCCTTATTTATGTATTTCTCTTTTTTGCTGCATCAGACCCTTGTTAATTTTTTTTATGTGCTCTCTGAAAAGTCTTCACACAGGGGTTGGCAAAATTTGGTTTACTATTGTGAGGACACAAAACACAGAGTTTATTCTTATATTTTTATTTATTTTTTATTATATTATTTATTTGTGCTACAGCTGTAAACCTCACTTTGCCAACCCCTGTATTCCCAACATATTTTACTCCAAAACTTCTTGGACATAGTAGCTAAGTTTCCTTGTCCACTGTGTGAGTTTTGATACAGCCCATTTTACCTTCCTCTTTTCCTCTTGCTTTCCCTTCTCACCTAGCCCCCTTGTCCTCTGAATGTAAAGCACCTTTTAAGAATGAGATAAAATACTGTCTAAGTCTCTGCTGTCATGTCCCATGGAATGTATCACGGTCTGCAGACATCTTTTTGTCACTTATGCCATGCTGATTTTTTATACATATATTTATGTATATTTATGACCAATAAAGCTAGTACTCTATTTTGTGTGATGACACCTCTGTCTTCTTTCATCCTTTTTTCTTCTTGTCAGTACCATGCAGTGAATGTCTGTTATTTGTCTTTCCATCAGCCACTCCTTTGGAAATAGCCTGCCATGTGCAGTGTGTGCCTGGGAATGGGCATCAATCATACAGCCTCAACTCCTTTACCTCAGTAACAGGCCCAAAGGTCACCAAAAGAGGGGCAGTAGGAGTAGGTTTGGGGAATTGACATGGATGCAGGAAAGAGAGAGAGTAATTCTCTGTTATTTGGGACTCCTAGGTATTGGTGACCCTATTTATATTTAAATAGACAATCTGAGAGGAAGAACAACAGAAAAAAAATATGGGATGGAGAGAGATAGCAGGAAATGTGAGGAACAGAGGCAGCATGAACCTGATGTCCTCTCAAGCCTGGATCCAGCCACTCTTCAACTTAAGTCCTCTTCCTTGACCTTGCCAGTTATGTGAGCTGACTTTTCCTTTGTTGCCTGGGCTACCTGAGATAGGTTATTTTCACCTGCAACTGAAAGGGTCCTGATTAGCATAACTGTCATCATCAACATCAATATGTCTTATTGAGTCACTACTAGCTTCAGGTCCCTATGACTCATGCCATTAGATTCAGTAATTCAGGACCCTGCTCTCCATGAACTTAACCCCTAGGTGAAATATGGGACATGAATGAGATAATTTTGAAAAGCACAAAATTTTTTAGGCAATGTGAAATTGTTCCCTGCAGATAATCACATTTTGTTTGTACAAATTCAATAACAACTTAATTTGCTTAGTTGACTGATCTTAGTAGAGACTATAAGTATGAACTTTGGAAATAAGGCTAAGATTAATTCTCTTTAGTTCATTTTATCCTGTGAATCTGGAGAGCACCATAAATCATATAACATTCCAGTCCAATCATGCTTTGTTGGAATACAGAATGTAAAAGAAACCAGAATTAAAGAGAGAACTACAAGTAGGACTAGATCTACAAATTAGATTCATTAAGTACTTTTTCTGGTGATCCTGGAGACTACAGGCTTCTTAACTAATCATTAAAAAACCTGTGAGTCATGAACTGCCAGACAAGTGGTCTTTGATCTGAATATGTTGGCATATCTACCAATGGCTATTGTTTTTCTTATAATTCAACAGTAATTCAAAATCTAATACCCTTTGAAAGTTTAAGATATGTGTTTTTTCTTATTTTAAAATGTTATGGTCCTTGTCCATCTTACAAAAGATATAGATTATAAATTGAGCAAAAACTTTAGTGTTATGAAAGAACCATTAAAGGAAAATTACCTGTAGTTACTTGCTCACCTATGTTATACAATCTCCAAAAGAGAGTAATTGCTAAGTTAATATTTAATAACGATGCACTCACTCCAGATGATCACACTTGAGTTTTCTTCTAGTATTTTCATATGTGAAAACAAAAAGGAAGACATGAGTGCAGTAGATAAACATGTCATTGAGGACAAGAAAACCATTTTGTTAGGAAGTGGATATTATGAGCCCAACACATTACTAAAACCCATAATGACTTATAGCTATGAGGAGAAAACTATCTAAGGAATAATAAGCATTGATTCGGTGCTACAAAAACAGTTTTCTTGTCTACCTTAATGACTTTTCATTGGAAAGTAACAGAACATGGTTAAAAGCTTGGCTGATTTGGGTTAGATATCAAGGTTGGCAGAGGAGTCTAAACTTGGCAAGTTGCCTCACTGCTCTGAGACTGTAGCTCTTCATCAATAAAACTAGATTACCTATATAAAACCACAAAGAAACCCTAGTAGCCAAAACAATCTTGAGAAAAATAAATCTAGAGACATGACACCCTTGATTTCACAATATATTACAAAGCTATGGTAATTAAAAGAGTATAACACTGGTCTAAAGACAGACATACAGACCAGTGCAACTGAACAGAGAGCCTGGAATAACTGATCTTTGACAGGAGTGCCAAGAACATGCAATGGGGAATGGATAGTATCTTCAACAAATATGTTTAAAAAAGTGAATATCTGCATGCAATAGAATGAGATAAAATCTGTATATTATACCACACATAAAAATCTACTCTAAGTGGATTAAAGAATTAAAAAGATAGGACATGAAACTATAAAACTCCTAGAAAAGCATAGGAAATAAACTTAATGATGTTGGTCTTGGCAGTGATTTAATGGGTATGGTACCAATAGCAGAGGTAACAAAAACAAAAATAGGTATGTAGACTACATCCCAGTGGAAAGTTTCTATACAACAATGAAAACAACTAACCAACTGAATGACAGTTTATCAAGTGGAGAAAATATTCACAAATCATATATATCTGATTAGGAATTAATTTCCATAATATATGAGAAACACCTACAATTCAATAGCAAAAAAAAAAAAAAAATTACAACCCCATTAGAAAATAGGCAAAGGACTTGAATAGACATTTCTCAAAGAAAACATACAAATGGCATATAGGTATTTACGAAGATGTTCAATGTCACTAATCATCAGGGAAGTGCAAATCAAAACCAAAATAAGGTATCATCTCATACCTCTTAGGATGGCTACTATCAAAAATAAATACCAAATGACAACAAATGTTGGTATGGATGTGGAGAAATTAGAACCTTTGTAAACTGTTAAAGGGAATGAAAAATGGTGCAGTCACTATGAAAAAAAATTGTAGGCTCCTCAGAAAATAGATTATAGAACTACCATATGATCTGGTAATCCCACTTCTGGGTATATATCTAAAAGTATTGAAGTCAGCATTTAAAAGCATTATTGGCATTTCCATGTTCATTGTAGCCCTATTCACACTAGGCAAAATGTGGAAACAAAGTAAATATCTATGGATGTTAATGGATATATAGGTAGATGGATAAGGACAATATGGCATGTACATACAATGGAATACTATTAAGCCTTAAAAAAGAGAAAAGGAAATCCTGCAGTACACAGAAACTTAGATGAACCCTGGAGACATTATGCAAGTAAAATCACAGAAAGACAAATTATTCACTTTTAGGTGGTTTCAAAAGTAGAACTCAGAGAAGCAGAGAGTAGGTTAGTGGTAACCAGGGCTGGAGATGATGGTAGGAGAGGAAAATGAGGAGTTACTGTTCAATGCGCATAAGGTTATGCAAGGTGAGTAAGAGCTGCATGACCTCATGCCTGTAGTTGACAATACTATACTGTACAGTTAGTTCACTCTTTGTTAGGAAGGGAGAGCTCATGTTAAGTGTCCCTACTACAGTACAAACAAAGAAACAATCTGGAATACCACCACCTACTTTTTGTGTGGTGAAGGCCAAGGCAGGTGGCAGGGGCTGAATGGAGGGAGACCCTGAGAGGGGGGAGGGAAATGCCTGTAATAGTATCAACAATAAAAAAATTAAAAAAGAAACCTCATAGTCAGAGCCAGTCATAGTCATAGTCAAAAGAAAGCAGAGCCTTTGTGACTCAGGCACGGGGATGGAATAATAACACCCCAGTCTGTTTCTCAAAAAAAAAAAAAAAAAAGAAAGAAAAAAAAAGAAAAAGAAAAAAAGGGAAGAAAGAAAGAAAGAAATCTTACGGCGTGGTAAGCTAGTAACACTTTAAACTACAATACTAATTGATATGCTGCCTTCCTTCCACCAGTTCCAAATTCTCATGTCCTTTATTGCAGAAACAGTGGGAGCAAGAAATCAGATCATGCTCGCTTTCTGCTTTCTAAAGTGGACCTGAAGTTCTCTGGCAGAGACAGCTTTAGAGATATGGTCTATGAGCAACAAATAATGGTGTGCTGGCCTAAACATTAGGCAAATAGAAAAATCCCCTTTCACTTCATTGAGACTAAATAAATTGATACAAATACTACAAAAATGTGATTCACAGCATCAACACCACCATGAGTCAGCAATTTAATTTCTAGGCCTCTGTCCCAAGAAACTTTTGCATACATATGTACACAAAAAAGATATGCATATGGAGGTTTCCTGAAGCACTTGTGGTCATGACAAAAATTAGGAAAACTAAAAGACCAATAGTTTGGAAATATATTTTAAAAAACCTGGTTATACATGAAGGGGAGTATTATACAGCAGACATAATGAACTTATCTATATATGGAGTAACACAGAAAATTAAAATAATACATTGTTGAGTAAGAAAAAAAAGTGTGCAGTGATGAATACAACATGATATGACTTAGGCAACTAAAGCATACAATAATATATATTATGTAAATGTTTATATATTTAAAATTATCATGAAAAACTAGAAAGATGTGTACAAATTATTAGCAGTAATGTTTCAAACAGGGAAGATATTTAGTATTGAGTGGTATGGACAAAGAGAACTTTAGCTTTAATGTTTCTAATGGGAAAAAAAATAAACAAACAAATAAAAAACAAAATAAATGAGTTTCCCAAGTCAGAGGGATGTGGGGAAGAGGGTTAAGAGGGGAAGATATTGGTGATGGTCACCAAGAAGGACTTGGAATCCTGACCATTATCTGATGTTGGTTCTAATCGAGGAGAAGGTCATAGAATGAAAGGAGTCTGCCAATATTGGCGATTCAAGGCAAAAGGGCATCTGTGCCTCACGACCTTCCCTTCTGGTGCCCAAAGGTGACTGCTGCTGTGGTTCCTGGGTCGCTAAGGCAGATGTTTAGAAAACCTACTTGGAAGAGAATTCTTCCTCAGTATCACCTCCAGAGAAGAGCTCAGTTAGGCCGACCCCTGAATTTTACTTCAGTGAGATCCTGAAGGGATCCCAGCCACCACTCAGAACTTTGAAAATAAAAAAAGGTGTTGTTGTAAATTGCTAAGTAACTTCTTATGCAGATTTATGTTATACAAAATAAAATTCTTTATCCTGTCCACCTGAATATTGATGTATTGAAAAGATTATATATACTTTATAAGTCAATGCCTAACATGTTATCTGATGCCCAGGAATCCCAGTTCTCTGTCCTTGTTGGATTTTCTCTCCATTGCCGCAGGGGACTTTCTTCCCTTGTCCCTCGTGGGCCCCTCACTACCTCTGCCAAGCACTCTGTCTTTTCTCCACAGCCCCGGGACATGCATTGTATTCATAGTAAGGCTGTGCTCAGTTTCATTAAGCAAGAGAGTGTCAAAAGATGGCTAAGAAACAAGATCCCTTTCTCCCCAGTCTTTCACTCAGGTACCTGTACCTGGTCCCCACTCTCCATGCCAGATTTATGTCATCAAAAGTATCCTTGAGTTTAGGAGGTTCTGCAATCAAGTTCTTGGTGTACTGCATGACATCAGAAGAAGTTGACAGAAGGTCGTAAGATCTTCGTTAAAGAATATCTGAAAATGCTGGGATTTTACCCTAAGAATCCCAAAACACCAATTCAAAAGAACCTGTGCACCTCAATGTTCACAGCAGCACAATTTACAATAGCCAAGTGCTGGAAACAACCTAAGTGCCCATCAGTAAATGAGCCGATCAAAAAAGTATGGTACATTTACACAATAGAATACTATGCAGCAGAAAGAAAAAAAGACCTACTACCCTTCATGACAGCATGGATGGAACTAGAGAGCATTATGCTAAGCAGAATAAGCCAGGAGGTGGAAGACAAATACCATATGATCTCACCTATAAGTGGAATGTAATCAACAAAACAAATAAGTGAGCAAAACAGAACCAGAGACAGGGAAATAAAGAACAAACTGACAGTGGCCAGAGGGGCCGGGGGAGGGGGATAATGGAGGAAAGAAGGGGGAAGGGTCATCAAGGAACTTGTATAAAGGACCTATGGACACGGCGGGGGGAGAACTGAATGTGGGTGTGGGTGGAGCGGCTGAGAGTGGTGGGCGGAAAATGGGGAGAACTGTAAATGAACAACAATAATAAAAAAATAAAGAACCATTTGTGGGCTAGAAACTAAAAAAAAAAGAGAAAGAGAGAGAGAATATCTAAAAATACTAGACATGAAAGTCACCAATGCCCTTCTTGTGTTTAGCTACAGTTTAATAAGTGATGTGTAACTTCCTAAAAATCAGGAGTTCTAGGCAAGAACCAAAGAAAATAATGATAAACCTAGGCCAAAAGTGTTCTCTTTAAGGGGCTTTTCTGAGAAGAGGATATCATTTCTATGCTCAAAACTCTTTCCTCATCTTTACTCAACAGCCTGTGTACTGTGGATTTATTTTGTATTGAGTCAAGGGAGTTCATATTCTGTGGGCATTGAATTGGCTTATGTTGGTGCAGAGACCTAAGGGAAGACTTGCTTTTTAATGCTCAGAAAGAAACAGGTGGTAGGAACAGACACTCCTGTAAGCCTTCTGACCTCTGTTTTTTATAAGTAGTCCCAGGAAGAATGCAGCTTCATGGGGACCGAAGGTGTCAGGTAGAAACAGAACAGGGGTAGTGTCTGCTTGCAGTTCCTCTCTG